AACGAAGCTAATGTATGAGACACTCTAAAATAGTGACAGCGCAGTAAAGTAGTGACAAAGTAGGGCATTTGAGAAATAGAATATCAGAGATTTGATAAATTAGTGTAAAATAATTAAAGAAGTAATGTTAAGGTTCAGTTAAGCGTAGTTAGACATTTTAACGGAGTTATATATAGATATCATGTTTAATGCTACATTATAAAAAAAAATATAAATTAATAAAAGTAAGTGTAAAAGAAGAAACATGAAAAAAACAATGTTTCTGAAACGAAAAAGAGGACATTTTTAAATAAAATAACCCAAAACTCAGTAAAATTGAGAAAAAACATTAAAATTTTAAAGTTAACATTTTAAAGTAATAAACAGCATTATGAAATTATAAAAATAGATAAAAATAATAGAAAAATGTACACATTAAAGTAAATTTAATAATTATATGTATATGTAGAATTCTCTTTTACTGTAATAACTATTACTATAATACTATATACTTAATAACTCTTACTGTAACTAATACTGCAAAATATCTTAACAGACTTGTTTCCAAGTTTAGGTTAGTTAATAATCAAGATGAAATTCCGCTCATTAACCAAAATCCTAAATCCTTCCGGCTGTGTATTTTCAACTCGACGTGCGAGGATGAGGCAAAAAATAAAACCAAAAATTTTCTCGTCCGTATGTTTTTAAGGGGAGGGGACGGGAGGTAGAGCGAGGATGACAGATCAGATAAAAGTTACAGTTTAATTTACGTGTTTATATACGCGGCACAACACCAATGTAGAATTAATCTACTTATTTTCATTAAGCTAAAAACCTTTAATACTATTATGGTGGCGTGTGCCACCATCATGGCCGAACAGATTAAAGTTGTAGGATTTCGTTCTTCGTAGCTCACATGATTCGAAGATTCGTTGATTTTTCTGCATGTAGATCAAGAGTAGAATAGTGATGACACATAATGTCATTAGTTATTAATGGAGAAGTGGTCGCTAATGATATATCTGTACCGTTGCCCTCAAGAATTGGAAAAGAAATAAGAAATTGTAATGACACGCGAAGGGCAGAGCTCCAAATGGAGATGGGCGAATTATTCGGGTAGCAACGTTTGCTGGGAACATGATAACAGATTAAATGCCGTCAGAACATACACGTAAATACCTCTGCTAAGAGCGCAAAAACCGGAGTATTTCGAGGAGTACTCAGCATGTCGTGCACGGTCGCCTACTGCCTTAATTAAAGCGATAAATACTGCACGTAAAACAAATTCCCGTGGAATTAGGGGGACAACAATAATTCGAAGTGGAGCGTGTTACGTTGTAGTTGCAATATGTTCTCAATGAGGAAGAATTAATCCCCTGTTATGCTGATTGAAGATTTAACGTTGAAGAACTATGTACAATAATTTCAATAATTTCATGTACAAGAATTATTGAGAAGATTAAACAAAATAATACTATAAAAGCTCTCCCCTCACATATACTATATTGTCATTTATAACATAAAATTGTCATAAATATCATAATTTCTTGTTGTTTTTTTTTTAAGCTTTTCTAAGAAAGATATCAAACGAAGCTATCAAAAAATATTGGGTAAATTTATTTTCATAAATTATAAGAAATTTTCCTAATTATTAATTGTTGTTAAATCATTACTGTTAATTTAATATATTAAGATACTTATCTTTTTTTATTATAAAAAATAAAGATCAAATTAGCGAAATAAATTGTTTCCTCGCAACAAGTGATTTAGTGGACGTATGGCTGACCATTATCGACTTTATCTACTGACAATCGAGTTTCATATGTAGCATTTTTAACAAAGACGTTCCTACATCGACTTTAATACAATGTCTTATTAGTGAATGTATGGAATACACGGAAATATTTGTGATTTGATCTGTCCCGTCTTGTTGATGTAAACATTCTTCAAATTTCAAACAGCGACTAGTATTATTGTCGCCTCGAATCGGTTGACAAACCGATTTATGTTTTTCTACTCAAGGTTATCGTACGAAACAATCAAATTGGCTTTTGAAAATCTTACTAAGAATTACTGTTTACCCTCTAACAGCTATTTCGTCTATTTATATCTATTTCTTGTCATATTTCTCTCTGTTATATATATCTTATATGTATATTTCTCTGTTCCTCTTTTTTGATTCATGAGCTTTTGCTCGCGCTACGAACTCTCGTGAAAGTCGTGCCAAAAAGAATCACTCTCGCGATCGCACGCAAAAGCATCCTCGTTACCCGCGCTAACCAAACCGGAAAGTGAGACACTCGTAAATACTTGCCAGTATGCTCGAAAGCACTCTTACGAAATTGTTCAACAAATCATAACTTTAGTTATTTGACCGCGATAAACGATATTTAATCGGCGCAAATTTCTTTTTTATTATAATATTATAATATGATAATCAATTTCAAAGATTTTATATGCTGTAACCTAATTCTTTTGCAAGATCGTTAACATGTAAATATGAACGTATTTAATATATCTGTAACTTGATTATTTTGTTTATAATTCTTTTATATGCAATTATGTATAAGCACAATCTCATGTTATACGTTCAAAACATCTTCTATAACTGATTAGTTGTATTAAAAATAAAATGAAATTTAATTGAATATCTTTAAGTATACATGGTAAATATCAATCAAGAATATTAATTAATATTAAAGCTCATTATAAATTTATAAAAAGTTAAAATATTTGTCATTTCACCGAAAATTCGAAGATTTTTTTATTGATCTCGCAAATCCAAGAAAAAATGTTTAGATACGGGAGCAAAGATACGGAAATGAGACTTAAGACCACCTCCTTCCAACATATCCTTTAATTGGTTTCGAATCCAAGCGCGCGCGCGCGCGTGGAATAAAACGGAGGAAATTTGCGAACAACAACGTGAGGCGGAACGATGAGAAGCGCCGTGCCAAAAGGGTCCTTTCATACCTTTTATGAATCCCCCCGAGGAGCGTTCTATACTGTTTAACTGCTCCGTTCTGTTTCATTGGCCAAGACGACAAGACGATAGTTGACACGCTAAAAGGCTGATAGCACGAGCAAAATAAATGAGGCCATCCCGTTTAAAGAGAGAGAGAGAGAGAGAGAGAAATCGTCAATTTAATTTTACTATTTTTTCTCCTTGTTAATATATAGCAATAACATTATTAAAAGTAAAATCACAAAACGGAGATGAACAGCGAGAATAAAACTAAAAGAGAAATATATTTTACTCTGAAAAAAAATTTCTTATAGAAAACTATCTAAGATAATAATAAAAATGAGTGGCAACAAATAATTAAATTGTGATGAAGGAAAAAGTACAGCATGAAATTTATATCAGAGAGAACCAAAGCGATGCTCCATATTTAAGCATTGTAATCTAAGTAAAATCTAAGTAAACTTTCGGTAAATGCAATTTGCAATTCTCTTCGCGCTTTTTCAACATAATGACTGAAACTCAAATTTTGGTGTCATTGGTAATTGAATATAAGCCGGCACGAGTTTCCGAAGTTTCGCGTTTGCGTAATTGGATAATATGTTCTAGCAGAAGAGCTTATTATTTTTGCATCAAAATGGAAAAATAAACGACGAATATTATAATAAATTATTTAATTATGTAATAAATTATTTAATTATGGAAACTTCGAAAAGATTACGTTAGCACAAACACGCGTTTGATTGTCAATTATACTGAAATTTGGGCTATAATATGACAGTTAACACAAAGAAAAAAACATTAATACCACGGAAACAACGCTATATTAAGAAAGACTTTCGTGTAATTTGCTTAAACAGAGATAATTCTAGTAGTTTTAAATACTATCCTTCCAAAATTCGTTGCATATGTCAACCTAAATTTTTTTAAAAAAGACACTTCTTTGTGTATTTAGCCAAAACATTTTAAAAAATATTTTACGTGTCATAACCGTCTATTGCCTATATATGTATCAAATTTTATATAAGTCTTTATTTATTAATTTCACAGAAAGTTTTATAACATTATTTTTATAAAAGACGTTTAATATATATTTAAATTCAACTTTCTCAATTTCTTATCATGTATGACAATTGATGACAATTATGAAAAAAATTGTATTCAACTAATTTGTTGTCTGAAGGAAACTGGCAGGAGGTCTCTGAAACGATTATCACGACACTGCGGTTTCACACCAAACCGGCTCCACGATCCTTAGAACGAAATATCTCAAAACAAGGACGAGAAATTCCGTAAGCATTGTGTCACTATTGTGATATTTGTGATGCGTGTGTCCCAAGAGCGCGAATTAACAGGATATAAAACCAGTTTCACGCGGATCGTCATTGTTAAATAAACTGCCTTGTGTCACATACCGCATTGTTTCGAACAAAGGTCGCTACGCGCGATTGTACTTCGCTAGTACATAAAGCCGGTTTCATAAGTTTTGTATAGATGATTATATCAATACCGAAAGAGAAAACGCGGCGTGAAATCGACATGCTCTCAACACGTGATCATAACTAGAAAGTTGAGGAAAAAGATAAATAGTCAAATAAAATCCGATTGCGATACTACAATCGATCATCCTACGCATCCTACCAACCGGAAAATATTTGTTGTAGCAAAATATTTCGCACGCACGTGTGATTAGGTCATCGTCAAAGATAAATGTTGAACGGTGATTTGCGAGTAGAATAGAACCGGCGTAAAAACGGAACTCCATTCCGATACATTTGACGCTGCGTGCTGCGTGCTGTGTGAAACCAGCTTAAAGGTCAGCCTTTAACCCAAACGTGGCCACTGCGATGGCCGAGAGATCCCGGCCAGCGGGGTGGCAAACGCATGAGCTCGTTCACGCTGTGGCGTCGGTCGGACGTTCGGTCGGATTTCAGGGTTCGAGCCGGCTCGCCGAACCGCGAAGGATCGCGAGGACATTACGCGGGATCGAGGCAAAAATAGGGAGCGAGCGAGCGAATTATAGGAAAACGAGAAACCTGCTCCGTTTCACCGGACTCACCTCTAGAGGGAGGCAGGGGCTGGATGCGGCCATGTTCCTACATGCGTTCGAGCCTCTGCCCCGGTGGCGATCCCCTCTTCTTCGTGCTGTGGCACCACTTTACAGAAATAGAAAAAAAAACAGAGGGTAGATATACAGACGAATTGGGGCAAACTGCACACTGCACACTCACGACGGCACCCCGGCGATCGACGTGCACAACCAACCCCCCTTCTTCGAAATACCGGTGAGGGGTGCAGGCGGGCGGGCGGGCGGGCGGGCAGAGGAAGGCGGGGGGCGGAAAACGGGGGGAGGGGAAAATAACACCAACGCAGCACCTTTCGCACCCCTTTTACTTTTTCGCTGTACGCTCCTCCTTTTTCGCCCGGATTATTTTTCTCTTGTGTTTCACGGCAATTAATGACACTCTTCCTCCAAAAGGGGAGATGAGAAGAACGGAAGAATGAGAAAGAGAGAGAGAGAGAAAGAGGGAGAAAAGAGAAAATGAGTGGGAAAGAGAGACGGGACAGTCAGAGTGAGCGAGAGAAAGAAAGAGAGAGAGAAAGAGAGAGAAGAGTGAAGAGAGGGGGGATCCTCTCTCCCGAGCCCTGAACTCTCTCGGTATCCTCGGAGCGTGCACTACGACCACCGGCAGCGGCGGCGGCGGCCACTATCTTCCTTTTCTTCTTCCTCGTCTTCCACCTCCTCGTCCGCCGCCTCTCTTCTTCCGCTCCTTTTTCTTCGTCGTCGACGTCGTCTTTCCTCCCTTTCGAGCCTCCCTCCCCTCCTCTTCCCTCCCTGCGACGCACCACAGCACACTCTCGGCGGCTCCTCTCGCGACGACGGCGAGGAACGGCTAGCTGCTTCGCCTCCTGTGCCACGTCCTCGTCCTCCTCCTCCTCCTCTTCCTCTTCCTCCTCCTCTTCCTCCTCCGCCTCCTCTCCGTCCACGTCCTCCTCGGCGGCGGGCGCTCCTCCTCGTCTTCTTCTTCCTCCTCTTCGTCGTCGTCGTCGTCAACCGCCACTGTACCACCGTCGCATAACAAACACCCCGGCGGCCGTCACGGTCTCGATGACACCAACACGATGACGAAAGGCAAAAACGGAAAGATAAAAAACAGAGAGACGAGAGACAGGTGGAAAGAGAGACAAAGTGAAAAAAGAGTGAGTGAGAAAGGGAGGGAAAGGAAGAGGAAATATCGAGGTTCGCGAGATTGATTGAGGAGAGGGCTAACGAGCCCGACGCTTTCTTTTCCTCGCGAGAGCCCGTTCTCACGAGGGCGCGTTTTCTCCTTCCTGCCGAGGCGCGGTACACCCCCGCGGGCAAGGGAGAGTCACCCTCCGCGAGTCAACTCCGCGCGCACTCGGCGAGCACTCGACGGGCGAGTACTGACCCGACCCGAGTTACGCGGCAACAACGACAGTGGAACCGGGGCCCGTTTTCGTACCAGCACTAACCACCAAACCACTTCTTCTTTCTTCCTTCTCTTCTCTTCTCTTCTCTGCCGCCTCTTCTGCCACTCGCGCGCGCCAGTCGCTTCTCCGTCCTATCGTCCTCCGTTTACAGCTTCAAGCAGCAGGTTCGAAACCCACTTCGTCTCCGATCCACGCAAACGTTCTATCACTCTTCGACTTCGACGGCACCTTCCCTATAACTACAACCCCTGTCCGCTTCACTCGGCCGGAAGTTCACACACTACCTACGTTCCCCGAGCGTCGGAGCTCGTGGCCACAGCGGGACGGTCGCTCGACTACGCTCCCTCGCTCTTCCACCACCACCCGACCGCCGCTCTCGCACACACACACACTCTCCTTCTCTCCATCTCTCTTTCTCTCTGTCTCTCTTTCTCTCGGCCCTCATGGCCATCTCCTCACCCCTCTTCTCACCCTCTCCAGCGTTTCCACCACCGCCGTCTCCGTTCGCCCACCCTCTGCCCGTTCGCTTATCCTTGTCGCGCCAACAATCTCTGTCCTCCTCACCGATAACTTCGACCCCCTTCTACATATCGTTATCTCCCTCGCGACTATTTAACTATCACCAGACTGTCTCCTTTCGTTACACTGACGTGGTCTCCTCCGTTGAACGGAGTTTATCTCTCGCTCTCACGCTAACGGCACGGCAATCGTCTTCGTCGCGCAGAGCGAGCTTCGCTCGTTCTTTCCAGGAATCGCCGTCTCGCTCCTTCCATCGGTGTTCATCCCTCTCTGGTGTATTTCCCTCTTTGTCTCTTACAAGCGACACGACGACTGGTTCCTTCTTCGTCTGACCTTCCATTAGATGTCCCTTTCTACTGGATGAGCTTGCGCTCACTCGCACTCCTCTAGCAAGTCCCTCTCAGTCGCGCTTACGTATTAACCCCCATTCGGAGGACGCCAGGACCGGGTTTCTTTAAAGTGATACCCTAGGGTTATCTCGATAAGTATCTCAAGAATTTTTATCGTGTACTTCGACCCAAGATGATTTTATTTAACTTTTTTTTCGAATTTTGTATGAAAGGCATATATTTTACTGCCTTCACATAAGTTTATAGTATTAAACTGTTTTAAATTACACTATTAGATGTTAATTATATATTATAAAAATAATAATGCTAAAATAATAATATACATATCACTTATATATTTTAAATATTATTTTTATATTATAAAATTTAAATATCCAAATAAAATAAATAAAAAGAGATAAATTCTGAGAATATTTAATAACTAATTTTCAGTAATGTAACGCTGAAAAAGTTTAATAAATTGCGAACTAATAAATGTCACAATTAATTAACTAAAGTTGTTATATAAAGTTGGTAGATGTGCTAGATAAAAGTTTTCGTATGCCTAATCGAATAAGCGATATTATACTGCATGTAAATACTTTGGAAACGACTATATGTACCTAGAAACTATTTCTAATATACAGCAGCGGTTATGTTGACGTTTATCGTTTATGATGAAATCGACAACACAAATTAAAGAAGTTTGAATAATATTTAAACTAATATTATATCTTAATATTGAGAATATATGCGTTATTAAACTTGAAAAAGATAAATTAAACTCTAAAAATAGTTAGAATTGTTGATTTATAAATTGACGCGGTTCTTCAGTTTGTATGTATTCATTTAATTCGTAATTATGCTATAAAAAGAAACTACGTTACTTTGAATTAGAGATAATTTTACGTAAACAATTGACATTGTTCATATTGTTTGGTGTTTATGACACACAAAACGTGATAATAGAATATAATTATAAATCTTCTGAGGTTTGATTTTATTTTATACTTATATATCAAAAGATAAAAAAGTGTTTTTTTCGCGTTTCTCTCTAACGAGAGTTGCAAGAAGGTAAAACAACGTAATCAAATTTATCTTATTTTTCACTATTTTAAAATGTCACAGGGACTATGTTCGAGTTGTAAATATTACATACGTTATATTTTCAGACATAAAAATATATATCCATAAATTATCAAAAGCCGAGTCAAAGAAATGAGCGTACTGCGAAAAATAATGAGATTTATTGAAAAATCAAAAAAGGAACGAGCTGTAATACATTTTTTCCATAGTTGCATAAAGGGATAGATAACTGCCTTTTGACGAGGGCTTTCTTCTGCTTAACCGATTATTCGAGTAAGATAAATAGCTATCAAGACAAAATATACTTTCGCTCAGCCGGTGGTACATGTGCTACCTTCCTCCACTAATCGTGTTAATTTCCATTTATCCGTTCGCAAGTTTAACTGGCGGGCTTTTTCGAAGCTTAGACCGCAAGCTCGTCGAGTACCACCAGGTGTCACCGTACGCGAGCACACCGGTGTGCGTGCCAATTCGCGAACGTGCGTGAGCTTTCGCTCTCGTTTGTGTGCGTCGAACCGATACCGCCGGGGGTTACTGGTGCATGCGCCCTCTCGCTTTTCAAGGGTAGGGATGAGCTTTTTCGCGTTGCACTCGCGTATGCAGCGAGCTTCGGGCCCCGACACCTCAACGGTAATAGAAATAGTCGTCTCGTACACGTGGATTCGTGACCGCGTTTATAGAATTCCAGGATACCGAAAAGATCAGGCAATCGTCAAAAATCAAAGAAATTCGTTGGAATTCGATGAGATGGAAGAGCGCCCCAGAAAAGAAAGGCGGTTCAACGCTCTCAATACTCGAGGAGCGTTAATTGGCCTTGCCGCGAATGAAACGAGGTAACGGCCTGGGCCGTGCCGCTGCTAAACGGTCACGATAAATTCCGGCGTACAGCGCTTCGTTATCTGATGACCGTTTTCTTGACGTCTCGTAGAAAGGTGACCGGAAGTCCACGCGCGTCGGCGGAAAGTCATCGTCCACCTAGCCATAATTCACTCGCGCGTGAGAACTTAATTAATTAGACGCGAAGCGAACCGCGTGATGAAGAGGTTTTCATGTCCTAAGTATATTGTTTATAACTGTTCGCCAAGAATTAATTTATTAATTCTTATTCAAAATATCTAAATTAAGAATTTATTTATTAACTCTTTTACTAATATTTATTATTAGAAGCTGTTAAGAGTGCTCATTAAGAATTAATAACTTTAATCAAATATAAATACTAAATTATACGATTTGAAATGATTGATACAGTCATCTTTTTAGAAATTAAAAAAGATTTCCTAAAAATAGTACAATAAAATCGTCTTTATTTAAAGCATTTGAAAGAGGATTTTGAGGTCATATTACTTCATGAACCATGTTGGACCACAACAAGGACTCTAAATATCCTCTGGTTGCCGTATTGTAAATGAGCTTTAGTTACGAATGTACTTTGCCATCTTCCATCAAAAGTTACTCGTAACTTTAGAACACATCAAGATATTATGCAAGCCGAGAGTTCACATGAGGTTGCTCCGATCAACTGCTCTGATCAACTTCCTTTCAATCGTGAATCTTTTGATGAGTTTCAAGAAAAACTCGGCTTTGACAAAGGGTCGATGAAAGTTTAAAAATTTGTAATATAGGATAAGTTTATAACTTGGTAATACAGGATTTGAAATATATATATTTAGAATGTAACTTTAATCCTGAACACAAGTGGTCGTACTGTTCTCTAATCCCGATTATTCCGATAACGCATTTACGTTATCCCCGAAAATTAAAGGATTATATATTCGGCGCCAAATGCGGGATATAAATCACCAAACTCCAACTCCCTCCCGTCTCCCTCTTGTTAGGCGAAATAACGGCATAACAGCTCCGTAAATTGCAACTTGTTATTACATCATTTGCAAAATAGAAAGCAATTGGATTCCCTGACCTAACGATGTAACAAAACACCGATTGATTTCGTTCTTTTATGCCCGTAGAACTAACTAAATGAATCAGCCCACTGTTTTTGGAGGCAACTCTCCCTCCTTACTCTTTCCTCTATCCCCGAATAACAAACACAAAGACATACGGAGGGAGAGAGAGAGAAAGAGAGAGAGAGAAAGAGAGAGGAAGAGAGAGAGAGAGAGAGAGAGAGAGAGAGAGAGAGAAAAAGAAAGCGCTCGCGATGGCCGCGCGATTCGACGTGTATAAAGGAATCGGCTTTAAATCTGCGGAGCCCGCGAACGAAGACGAGGGGATGAGCAGAGGACTGAAGAGGGAATAAAGGGAGATGGGATTGTCAGGGGTGGCAGCGGTAACGGCAGCGGCGGCAGTGGTAGCGGCAGAGAGTGCAGGGGCAGCGTTCTGGGTTTCTGGGTTCGTCCTCCGTCCCCTCGCTCTCGTCCGTCCTCGCAACCCACGGTCTCCTCCTCCTCCTCCTCCTCCTCCTTTCTCCTCTACCTCCTCTTCGACCCCACGAGGTTCGGAAAGGCTGCTGTGCGCGCGGCGCACGAATGTGGAACAGTAGGTCAGCGCACTCCGTGACCCCCGCCTGCCGCGGCCTACCCCTCCTCGGTGCATGCACCCTGATGCGATACGTACGACTAACCGGCCGAACCCTTCTTGTCCCAGTCCCCCCCCCCCGTACCGTCCCTACAACCGAGCGCTCTCGCGGCACCCTACTTCTTCCTCTTTGCTCCTCGCTTTCCCTCTTCCTCCTCTTCCACCTGCAATGGGCCCGCGTCTCATCCCGCGACCGATTGCGTTCTGTCGTAGGGGTGAGTTTACGCGATTCAGTTCCGATGAGAGCCTCCCGACCGAGCAGCCGAAAGCGAGAAAAAAGGTATAATATCCTGTACACAACGTTTTCCCCCGGGAAAACGATTACCCTCGCGATGAGCGACGAAGGGAAGCGGAAAATCAGTTTTCTGTTATCAGTTCCGTTATCGTAATGTTTGCCAACTACCATTCATAAAATTCGTGATGATTATCACTGAAAGCGAGAGAAATTCTGCACAGGGCATTTCTTAAGAGAGATGATCATGCGACGATTGGAGTGGAGATAGTTCTATTAATATAGAATATAGCTTTACACTATTTGCAAATTACTCTTTACAGTAGTCACTCTTGATAAATCACCTAATGAAAGCGAAGGAAGATAAATCTTGTGTAAATAATTGTCCATGTTGAACGACAAAAGATATGGAACGATTGCTATCTCTTACAATTATTTGACTCTGAATCTCTGGTCTACATAGCGATAATATCATAAGTAAACGGCGGATTTTTATGTAAATATATATTTTTATAAAAAAAAAACAAATAAAAGATATTAAAATTAAATATTTTAAATAAAAGAAATTGCAGATCACGTTTGATGAGATATATTCCAATCTTAATCCTACTTTTCCACCCATCTACTTCTTATCAAAATATATATTTCCCTAAACATTCGCACAC